TATATATATATATGATGAAGTGCAGGACTCCTGTTTTCTTCGATTTCACGAAGTTTAAATAATATATCTGCTTCTTTCTGACTTCATTATTTGTTTAAGATGAAACTAAATTTTAAAATATAGCGAATACAACTGAAGCTTTTATGAAACATTGCAGCAGAAAAAGCTCTAAAAGTTCCCACATTCTTTGGGAAAATTTCCCAAAACGGGTTTGTTTTGAGTTTGTTTATGGTGGGTTAAATTTGGGGAATTTATCAGCAAACAGAATTTATATTTATGACTCTGATTCCTGATTTTTAGGGTAAACCATCTTTTTACTACCTGTGGTGATTTCCTGACAGTTCCTGATAGAAACTATTTGGTTCTCAGTTCCTGTTGAAAAAAAAAAACATGGTGCTTTTTTTTACACCATGTTGGTGTTTTTACTGGTTTGACATTAAGCACATGTGAAATCTCAGTTTGTTAAACATTTCATTTCATCATTTTGACGTTATTTTCACTTTAAAACTAAAACTAACTGTAAAAGTTCTGAACTTCTGAACTTTTTCTGTTAAGTCAGTTCCCTTAATCTTTTGTTTTTGGTTTTCTCTTTGTTGTAGAAATCTCAGTTTGTGAGCCATCGCATTTAAACATTTATTATGTTTATTATAAAACAAACCCAGCTGATGGGTTTTATGTGCATGTGTGCTGATGTGTGTGTGCGTGGGCCTGTTTTTGATACATCGTGGGAACCATTTTCCAGAAAAAGCAGCATTGTGGGAACCAATGCCCAGTCCCCACAGGTACAGATGCTAAATTCAGGTGGGGGGTTAGGTTTAGGACCAAGGTGTGAATTGAGTTTAGGTTAGTTTTAGAGTCAGGCAGGTACCTGTGAGGTCAATTTTTAGGGTAAATGGTCAGAGTTAGGATTTAAAATTACCAGAAAATGAATGGAAGTCAATGCACGGTCCCCACGAGGATATAAAAGCAAACCTCTGTGTGTGTGTGTGTGGGGGTAATCATTTGTCCTTTACTAAATAATAGTAAACAAATAAAATCAGTTTGAGCAGCTGACTCTTTGATGGGTTGGAGTTCCTCAGGGTCGTGTTCTCGGTGCACAAACACGTTCCTGCTTTCTGTTTTCTGATGAACACGAGAACGTAGTTTTCTGTCTAAATTTCTTTGTGGTGAAACTGAAGCGTTTCTGAGGGAAACGTTTGAACAGGAAGTTGCTGTCAGATTTCATCCTGTTTGTTTGTTTGTTTGTTTGTTTGTTTGTTTGTTTTTCAGGTGCGTTCGCTGTGATCATGGTGAAGCAGCCTCCCATGGTCACCGTCGCCCTGGGTCAAGACGCCGTCCTGCCCTGCGAGTTCCAGTTCACCTTGGATGACAAAATAGAAGATACCCCGGTCCTGTACTGGCAGGACGAAAGCAATACAGTATTACTGGAGGGAACTAAGCAATATACTGAACGTGCATACCGTTTGGACCAGAACCAAAACTCTCTGAACAAGTCCATCGTTTTGAAACGGGTCCAGTGGTCTGACAGTCAGAAGTACTTGTGCAAAATCTCTGTCACCTCTAATGGAAACAGTTCCAGGAAGAAAGGAAATCTCACCAAACTAATCATTTATGGTAAAATATTCTTTATTATCTGACAAAAAATCCCTTTGAATAAAAGGAAAACTGTCAGAATTAAAGCAAAGTGAAACAAAAATGTCCATTTACAAACGTTTGTACTTTCATATCTGAGCCATGAGGCTGCTGCTGGAACAACTCAACAAACTTTATTTAAAATGACGCAGGTGGCTCAGTGGTCAGTGTTTGAACCAGAGGCTGCAGGTTTGAGCTCAGGTTGTTTCAGGGAGGAAAAAATAATAAAAACAATATAAACTCTGACAGACAATCATAAAGAACTGTTAATGTGGTTCAGGAAGGTCTGGATCCGGACTGAGAACCTCTGTGTTCCTGTGGTTTCAGACTCCATGACCTTTGACCTCAGCAGCCTCAACGACTCTCTGCTCCGGTGTGAGGTCAACGTGACGCGGGGGTCCGACTTCGTTTTGTCCGTGACCCAGAACGGATGCAAACTGCAGACCGTCGAGTCCAACAAGGAAGACGATTTGGAGCCAAAGAAGATCCGACTTTCTCAGACGGTCCGTCTGCAGAACCTGGGAGACGGAAACTACGAGTGTGAGCTGCGCGTGGGAACCAATCTGATAACAAAGCGAGTCTTCCAAACCCACCTGCCAGGTACCCAATGACCCAGTTACTAGCAGAACAGTTTCTCTTTTGTTTCTTATTTTTAAATCTTTGTGAAGTTTGGTTTTAAACTCTGCTCCAGAACTTGCAGACTTCTGAACAAGCTGCTTTTATCTCTCGCTTGTTTTCGTTCTTTAGATTCAACCTTTGGTTGCATCGATCAGTTTTTTGTTAAAACTTAAACATGTTGGTTTTAAGATTCAGTTCTGTTGGGTTTATTTGTCTGAAACGTCTTTTTCTGAGGAAACACTCCTCTTCCTCAGCTCCTGTTTGATGTGGTGTCCCTCATGGGTGTGTTTTTGGTCCAGTTCTGTTTCTAAAGCTGCTTTTAGAAGCAGTGCTCAATGTTACGCTGATGACACCCTGGTTTATTTCTGTTTCTGAGCCATCAGGTTTTTTATAGCTTTAATGTTTATGTTCTTTAGCTTCAGGTGAGCTTTATCAACATTTTCTCCATTTGAGCAAAAAGTTTTCAGTTTATTTTAATAAAAGTGCACAAACGTTCTGAGAGTAAATGTTTTTTTGTGTAACATTCTCTTTCATTTTTTTTTACTTAAAGAGGAAATGATTTGTGTTGATTGTATTTACGACGTTGTTGTTTTTCTGTTTGTGTTTCCAGCAGAACCGGGTCAGTTCCCCGAGCCCTGGGTCCTGTACACATCCCTCCTTCTGGTCCAGACCCTGATCATGCTGGTCCTCCTCATCGTCACTGTGAAGAGGAGACAAGTCTAAAAACATTTGTAATGGCTGACTCATCGGAAATGTCAGACTTTTGTTTCCAGGAAATTAATGTTAAAACTTGACTTTGTGACGAGAGCAGGAAATAAAAACTGCCGAAGAATAAAACTGATACTTTTTATTAACTCTGCTTCACCTGAAAACAATCAAACTTTCTGTGTTTTTTAAAAACATTGTTTAAAATCTATTTCATTCATGTTGTGAAACTTGATTTTTTTTATTAACAGTAATCTTGTGTGTGATATAAAAAACTAATATTAATTCTAAATATAATTAAATAAAATACTTGTGTATTTGTGGTGAAAATATTTGAAATATAAAAGCACAAACTGTGTATGAAAAAAATAATCAGTTCTATGAACTGAACATAAAATCACAAGGAGGATTTTATTTTTACATATTAAAATAAAGATAAAATAAAAACAGGAAGTCTTTTCTCTGTTTGGCCTCATGACTGCAGTTCTGTCATAGTTTAGAAATGATTATAAATCAGCTGCTTTGTGTTAAAATCCTTCAGAATCAAAATGTTCTGATGCCTTCATGGGTCCGGTTCTGATCAACTTCAGCTTCTATCAGCCGAACCAAACCGCTCAGATTGATCTAAATGTGACCCGACTGATGCAGAACCTCCGAGAAAAATGTTTGTTTTTTATGATTGTTTTTGTTTATGGTTGTTGATTTACAGGGTGTTTCCTGTTTTATTGACTGAATTAACTGCAAATAATCTGCTGTAAATATTTAAATTTAATAAAGTTTCTTTGATTTTTTTGAGCTCAGTCGTTATTTTAAATCTAATTATTTCACTTTTTATTTATTTGTAATTTAATCTGTAAATTTTCTGATTATTTTTGTTTTAAATCTTCACTTTATTAAAAAAAGAAATGAGAAATAAATGTTTTTATTTTTAAATTCTGACCTGTTCTGTCCTTGAAGCTCCTCAGCTCCGACACGTGGCGGGAAGAAACACGACATGGAAAAAAAACCCTGCTGCCATGACAACGCCTCCTCCTCCTCCTCATCCACCTCCTCCTCCTCCTCCTCCTCCTCCTCCTCTCTGCTGCAGTGCATCACATGGCCCCGCCCCCTCTCCGCCCACTGAATGAGGAGCTGTGTGTTTGGAGTTCCAACATGATTCTCCTCAGGACCACAGGACTCTCAGTCAGCGCTCTCCTCCTGACGGACCGCCCTCGACCAGACCGGACCGGACCGGACCGGACTGATGGAAGCCGGACCCCTCTGACCCACAGGACAGATCCCAGACAGGTGCTCTGATGGTTTAAGTGTCTCCTTCTGGAATAAATCTGCTCCTCTGAGGACCGGACAGAGACCCAGACCCACCAGAGGACCGGACAGAGACCCAGACCCACCAGAGGACCGGACAGAGACCCAGACCCACCAGAGGACCGGACAGAGACCCAGACCCACCAGAGGACTGATGTAGTCCTGCAGCTCAGACTGTGAAACCCACATGAGACATAAAAAACTGGTCTTCCTTCCAGAACCAAAGACACAAGGACACCGGACGTCTTCCATCCCACCTCCAGCCTGTTCTGTTCTCAGGTCTGTAGAACCGAGATCCTCCTCAAGACCTCAGACCTGTCCTCAGACCTGTCCTCAGACCTGTCCTCTGACCTGTCCTCTCTCAGACCTGTCCTCAGACCTGTCCTCAGACCTGTCCTCAGACCTGTCTTCCTCTTTTTGTCCACTCTTGGTCTGAAGTAGACAAAACTGTCCAACAACTGATACCTGAAACCAGGACAGATTATTGAAACTTGAACAGACCTGTTGGGACAGACCTGTTGGGACAGACCTGTGGGACAGACCTGTTGGACAGACCTGTTGGACAGACCTGTGGGACAGACCTGTTGGACAGACCTGTGGGACAGACCTGTTGGACAGACCTGTTGGGACAGACCTGTTGGGACAGACCTGTGGGACAGACCTGTTGGGACAGACCTGTTGGACAGACCTGTTGGGACAGACCTGTTGGGACAGACCTGTGGGACAGACCTGTTGGGACAGACCTGTTGGGACAGACCTGTGGAGACAGACCTGTTGGGACAGACCTGTGGGACAGACCTGTTGGGACAGACCTGTGGGACAGACCTGTGGAGACAGACCTGTGGGACAGACTTGTTGGGACAGACCTGTGGGACAGACCTGTGGGACAGACCTGTGGGGACAGACCTGTGGGACAGACCTGTGGGGACAGACCTGTGGGAACAGACCTGTTGGGACAGACTTGTTGGGACAGACCTGTGGGGACAGACCTGTGGGGACAGACCTGTTGGGACAGAC